GGCCACCCGAGGCTCTAGGGTGTTGCACACACTACTCGCCGAGCTGGATGGTAGCTACTGGATGTTCATAACTACTGAGCACATTTTTTTCCCAGTGTTTTTAAAATCCGAGGAAAGGGCATCGGGTGTAAGCTAACGTTTTCTGATTTTTATTTCAGCTATGCATATGCACACAGTCAAAACGTTTTTCTTATTGTGGATCACAATAAAAAAACATTTGAAAGCGGCTTATATTATCTGGATGACTCCTTCCGGTTCTGTGATTTGGAATGGGGCCGACAGCTTACATTAGTGTTCGTCCCACACAGGAGCACGTGCTTTTTAGCACACCTGATGTCCTAAGCGAGGCTGGAGTTTAGAGTAGGACAGGCAGCCTTCTCCGTTGCTGCGTGGTGTTGGCTCGGAGCAGCCAAACTGGAACTCTCTGATTGCCAGTTACTTCCTCTGTAGGACTAAGAACCTAGCCAGGTCCCCGCCGAAACACTCCCCAAGTCACTGTGCTCGAGTCACCCCGCACTGGCGGGCAGGGGCTGCGCGAGATGACCCATGTGGGGTGGCGAGCAGTCACAGAGATGCGTCTGAATGGTCTAGGTTTCCAGGTCAGTCCATCTTCTTGCGATATTGTCCTTTTCAGATAAATGTGACTCGATTTGTACGATTGCAAGTGTTCCTATGAGTAAGTGAGGAAAATAAGTCTTCTGTTGGGCCATAGTTTGGGTTGAGGGATGTGAAGAAGCCTATCAGTCAGCCCATCTCCTGAGCACATGCTGTGTCAGGGACTACAGGACTGGACTCCTGGGTGACAGAACACGTGCTCTTGTCCCCAAATCACAAATGAAAGATGACGCCTTGTCTGCTGGTTGGGAATTTTGTTCAGTGGCAAACAACATGGCGGTCTCCAGTGAGACAGGCTGGAGAGTACCGTATTTCCCTAACGGGAAGACTGGGCGTTGGGTGGGTCCTGCTCTTGATGCATTATCAACACTGTGTGTGTGTGTGTGTGTGTGTGTGTGTGTGTGTGTGTGTGAGAGAG